GACTGTCCCTCTCTCGCGTTCCTTGTTCCGTCCGCGGGCTTCAAATTGACGTTTATTTGCCGACAGCCGATAGGCGACCTCCCGCCGACGACGGGGGGGGGGGAGGGGCCAGCCGTGGTACATTCGTACAGCCATTATCGAGTTTTCTCGGTGACGTTGGCGCACGGCGATGAAAATCGAGCGAGTCGGAGAAACGACCGGCGTAACGGCGGAGAGTCTTGTGAAAATTTTATCGCGACTCCACCAACGGACAACGTCGGGACGTCGTGGACCGCGCGTGTGAGCAGGCCTGCCTTTGAGGCACCGAACAACGCTGCCAAATGCGTTCTTAATGCCGAGCGAGCGATATGCTCGACGACGTGCGATGAGCAATGAGTCGCTGTGGCACAAATGGCGGCTGCAGTATGTCGCAAAGCCTTGCCACGCACTGCCTTGACGCGGAGAAAAAATTGCCGCCAGCCGCGCACGCTTCGCTCCCTTGCGCGCAAGCTTGAGGAAATAATATTAAGGGAGGAATTACATGCGGAAGGCCGCTTTCAAGGCTATTTTTACGAATTTCTTTAACAGAAGCGATAACATTAGCGGACTTGAAATTTTCACAATGTATTCATTAATGTTCAAAGTATAAAATAAATTTTATTGAATCACCAGAACCGACCCAATTTGTAATTGCAGATAAGAATGCAGTCATCCCTTTGCGAGCTCTATGCTGTTTGCTGTTGACATAATTCCGGGCCTCTCACTACTCCGAAGCCAAAAAATGAGAAAAATTTTTTAAATACACGGTTGCCATTATAGTCCGTACCAAAATGAAGGCAGTGAAGCCAAATTTGGGAAAATAATGATTGTACAAAAAAAATATCGAAAATGAAGCTTTTTTCAACTTGTAATCATATTTAAAAGAAATGAATAAAATAAAATACAACTGTGTGTGTTTGAAGTAGGGGCGAAAACTACACATCTACTGTATATTGTGTAAAAATTTCAAGTTATTCGATTCAGTAGTTTTTGCGTAATCGCGTCAACAGTTTAAAAAATGGTGTTTCCAGATAAACGTGTTTAAAGTTTTGTATGTACCTTCCATATACGTAGATGGTAACAAATTTATTTTAATTTGTTTTAATTTATACATTTGAACAGTAATGAATACACTGTGAAAATTTCAGGTCCATTGATCCTACCGTCTCTGTTAAAAAAATTCGTAAAAATAGCCTCGAACACGGCCTGCTCCTGCAATCTCGCCCTTAACGACGAATCTGCTATTCACACCGAAGGAGTTATACTTTGATAAAAAGAAACGACTGACGACTTTGTCGTTATCATCGGCGCGAGAATCCAAGTCCTCGGACAATCCGACGGCCTGAGACGAGGCCGCGTCCTTGCTGCGTCCTCGGCGTCCTCCCGTCTGAATATATTACCGCACGCTGATCACGAGCATCTCGAGTACGGCGCGATGACGCGGCACTCGCCGTGCGAGCTTCCGCCGAAAATCCCGTCCATTATAAGAATGTCGCGGGAGATAAGAGATTCGCGTGGCCGGTCGCACGCGCAATCACTCGGCCGCGCAAGTGTCACGTCGCGCAGCTGCTCGCCCGACGAGGGAAAAGCGCGCGCACCTTTTCTATCCCGAGCTCTCGAAAATGTAGCAATTTCGAGTCGCGGAACAACGGGCTGATTATACGGGAATTACGCTCCCTCTCTCGCAAGACGCAGCGGCTGACGCAAAGGTTTCCCTTCGACCGTTTCCACACTGGAGAATAAAGCATGAATAAATGCATGACTACTCTCTGCGATTCTGCCGCTACGCTGGAAGCAGCGCAACAAAGAATACACGCGCGCCGCGCGCAGTTTTACAACAGGTGCTCGTGAGAGCACCCGCTTTCCATCCTCCCTCTCTCTCTCTCTCTCTCTCTCTGTCTCGTCAAATCACCCTCTCTCATCCGGCCGCCGCGTTCGCGGCGGATAGTAGACTGACGTACGTGACCGGACATACGTTTGTTTCAATCGTTTAGCTCGCGTAGTCTGCCGATATTGTGCGGTACCGGAGGAAACGAACAACAATAGCCGTCCCTCGCCGAAATTAAAAGTCATGGTCTGCCGGGGGTGGCGGGAGGGAGAGGAGGAGGGGAAGGGGCGGAAAGTCGATGAGCAAATATTTATAGATCGATCTCAGAGTGTCGGTCCTGGCAAATCCTCGTCGACAATGCGGGATAATAATATACTATCGGATTACTGTTACTAATGGCGATCGTGTTAATTAAAAGAGAAAAAAGTAGACCCCCCCACACACACACACACACACACACACGCACACACGTGCACGCGATATAACTCGAACTCGAGCTTTGTAAAGCGCAAACGAGGTAACGGTACGCGTAACTTCTCGCGTCGGATAGCGGAAATTCTACCGCGAGAGACGTCCATTACGCGAGCGCGCTATCGGAGCAAGAAGAATATTCAATTTCGCAGACAATCGCGTCGCAAATCTCACCGCGGAGGAAGCGTGGTCGAGCGGAGCTGTCGTATTTCGCGATAAAGAACACTCAGGGGGAATGATCGAGCGGATGGATGAGCAAAATTTAATAGACACGGAGGGGAAAAGCAAGAAGGGAGAAAGAGGGAAAGAGACGCACGCGTGCGCGCGCCAAAGGGCCGCGAACATTTCCGAAAAGAACGCGCGAAACGGTCGGCGAGAGTGAAGATGGGAAAGAGCGGAAACGCGCGGATAGACCAGCTGCGAATGAAACAGCGCGGCGCGTCGCGAGAATAAGAAGACGCAAGGCGCGCCTGTGTGCTTAAGGCTTCGTTATTACGGTCAATTAAGAGGCCAGCTGTAGATAATGACCGAGTGAAGAGCCCCGCCGAGAGAATAATCCGCCCGCAGCGGTTCGCGACGTTATCGCGCGCGCGGCGGCTGTTTTAGCGGATAAAAAAATAATAAAACAGCCCGGCAAACAGCTCGAGCGGAAAGGAGGAGTCGACGCGACAGAATCGACTTCGCAGTAATTTGTAATTGCGAATCGGCCGGTGGTTTTTATATTTAAGTTTATACTTAAGTTAAAGGAGCTCTCGTCGGGGGACGTTCCCAGGATTACGAGCGTAATAGCGCTTTCATTAAGATACTATCGCGCACGATTTTAATAAGTCACTTGACGCGCGAGCGCGCAATTAGGGCTGTCAGCATGACTTTTCGCGCGTATCAGCGAGCCGACGAGATGAAACGCCGTCGTGAGTGATGCTCCTCTCCGAACGAAAAATGTGCGCGCGTAACGGGTATGTGTGCGTATGCGTGGGTGGGTGTGTGTGTGGATGTGCGAGATTGAGAGGCGGTTTAGCGGATGCTAATTTTATGCGAGATACTCGCGCGAGATACACCCGGCGGATAAGAGCGAGCGATAATATTCCCCCGCGGCGCGCGTGTTTTAAAAGAAAATAACGCTGTTTGCGGTATGAATTTGTTTATTGCTTCAGCGCCGTAACGCGCCGCGGCGGTGCTGTGGCACGCGTTCCATTAAACTCCCTTGCGAATGCGGAGCATGCGACACGTATGGAAAATCACGACGGGAGAGAGAGAGAGAGAGAGAGAGAGAAAGAGGAAGAGAGGATCCGATGATATCATCGATGATGCGGTCTTCGCACTCCGACTTTTCAAGCGCGTGGAGTGCATTTTGTTTTTCCGTCGAATGGATCGCGGAATTGTCGCGCGCGCGCGAGCTGTTTCCTTTACGACATTAAATTAAAAAGTTTATCGTCTCGTGGAAACTCGGTTCCATTAACAAGGTTAGCAACGTCCATTAAAGTAATCGATCCCCCGGATAAATATTCCAGTACTTTTAGTAAGAGCGCCCTGAACGGAACTTTACATCACAGAAAAGCAACGACAAAAGAAGAGCGACACCGAGATTCCCGGAGAGCTCTCGTCTAGTTTTTCCACCGAAAATCTCCGCGGGTGGCCTCGCGCGAATCTGCAAGACGCGCCGGCCGTTTCCAAGTCGAAAGTGGCACACGCGGAGAAAATACACGCGTCAATCGTCACTCGCGCTCCGACGAGGGGGGATGTCGATGCACAGAGGACGAATGTCCAACACCTGTGCTATCTCGTGCTCGAGCGCATTTCCAATCAAGGGACTGCGGGAGGAACCTGACGATCGCGTGTCATGAACGTCGATATCTGACCATGAACATAAACACTCGGCCGCGACCCACCTTCGCGAGAGGGAGAGAGAGGGACGGAAAGAGAGAGAAATTTTAGAAAGACAGAAATCAAAGTTTCAGAGTGTCAGCTCTTCGCATCTGTCGTCGAAATTGGAAAACCGACCCCAATCAGTTCACTCATTTCCTCCGATTTCTCCTCGTTCCGTTTCCTTCGCCGCTTCGATCGAGAGACGAGCCCCTTCGTCAATTTTATCGCGAGTAAAAGTCACTTATAACACGCGCGATTGCATTCGTGTTTCGGCGAAGACGCCACAGCTTTACGGCGAGTCGAGCTCCGCCCGACGATCGCGACGGCGTCATAAAAATCAAAGAAAAAAGAAAAAAAAAAGAAAAATAATCTCTGCAAGACTTTCATCTCGCCGCGTCGCTTTTCAGAGCAAAGCGACCAATAAATCCATCCAATTAAATTCCCCCTCGCGTCGGTTTACGCAAAAAAAATCATCGACGACGTTCCTCTCGCCGTTTAACATCGAGAAAGAGCGAGAGGGAGAGACGGAGAGAGAGAGAGAGAGAGAGAGAGAGAGAGAAAGAGAGGAGGGGCAGGAGAGACGCCTCTCACCCAGAACACCTAACCGATGCCGATCAAAAGACCGTGGCACATACATACACACACACACACACACGTGCGCGCGCGCGCGCGCACACACATACACGCGCGGCGTTGCAACAATAGCGCGTAACTCTGGGGCGCAAACGACAGCGGATAAACAAACGCCGACACTCGATAAAGCCGAACATACATCTCTCTTCCCAGCGAGGCATAACCCAGCCGGCGTCGATACTACCTAATAGTGTCCAACATTCTCCCTTCTATTATTCACTCCCGGCGTGACCGCCGCACTCGAGGACAGCACTCGCGAGAGCATAGCCGGCGGATCATAGCGAAGAAAACGAGCCGATCACCGGCCATATCAGCTCGCCAGGTGTGCGAACTGCGCGCGCGAACCTCTCTTCTCCTCCTTTTTTTCCTCTTCCTTTTCCCTCGCGATCACACCCGCGAGAGGATGCGTCCTCCGCTACGTGTCATTCACTATCGGGCCACTCGCGACGCACATGAACGCGGCTGTCGCGGACGCACCGACAGAGCCGATACTGAGGACTCGTGCATAGAGGAAGGCTGAAGAAAGAAAGAGGCGGAAAGAGAGAAGAGGAAAAAGATCGATCGAGAGACACAGAGACAAAGAGAGAGAGAGAGAGAGGGGGAGAAGGAAGACAAGGAGAGAGAGAGAGAGAGAGAGAGAGAGAGCGAGAGAGAGAGAGAGAGAGAGAAAGAGACGGAATACAGAAGTCGGAAACGGCGGCAGACCGGGGGTAGAGAGCAGGCGGAGGGATACAAAGAGGGAGAATACGAGGGATGCAAATGGCCCAGGTTCGCGTTTCTCTCCTCGATGTGCGCGGAGTGCCTCGGTGCTAACCGGAGCCGAGGCGATGAGCTCTCGTGCGCCGTCGTCGTATTGACGTTGACGGCGGCCGAGACCCAACTGACGGAACCGCTCTCTCTCTCTCCGGCGACGCCGCGGCACAGTGACGTAGCATCCGGAAAAGCGGCGGATTTTCCCCGTGTGCCCGAGCGAGCGACGAGCAAGCGGCCGAACGAGCGAGAGACGGCGGGGGTGTGTGTAGCCGACGCTCCACCGACTACCCCTACGACTAACCAGCAGCGGCGCTGCTACTAGTAGTCCGCGGACCAGCGGCGGATCCGCAGCCCCGGCTGTTTTGCAAAAATTAGGTCACCCTCCACATACACACACACACACACCCCCGCCACGCATTACCACCACCGCCACCACCACCGCTACCGCCGCTATTGCCGCTGCTACCACCACCGACGCTCTATGGTGTACTTCACGCGAATGCATCTCCTCCGCGTCTCTTCGGCTTTCCTATGTGCTCGCTCTTCATCCCCCCCCCCTCTCTCTCTCTCTCTCTCTCTCTCTCTCTCTCTCTCTCTCTCTCTCTCTCTCCGTTTATCCGTTCATTTCCGTCCACCACTGATGCGTCCGTTCGCGAGTCGCCCTCGCGATGCGACGCTTTTTTCCGCCAGCGATCTGCCGGAGACCACGAGAGAGAGAGAGAGAGAGAGAGAGAGAGAGAGAGAGAGAGAGAGAGAGAGAGAGAGAGAGAGAGAGAGGGAGAGAGAGGGAGAGAGAGAGAGAGAGGGAGAGGGAGAGAGAGAGAAGAGTCACGTTACCAGCGCGATGCTCTTGTCTCCGGCACGCCTCTTGTATCACCGTAGATCGATAACAGTTGGCCCTTCGCGTGATAAGACAGGCTGAATGGTAAAATGGACTTTCATGGAGTGCTGGTAAAGCGCGATCGCGCACGCAAACTCCAATTTCTGTTTTATCCACTATTCGTAGCTCGCATCGGTGAGTACTCTCTCGGGCTCGCACGGGATCGGAAAGTCGCGAGCGCCGGCTTTCGCCTTCGGCAAACTGTACCTTCAGTCCCGCGCTTCAGGCCACTTTTTGTATTTACCTCGCTAATTAAACAACGAGGGAACACGGTTTCCCTCCCGTACGAAAATATATGTACGGAGTGTCCGGTGCAACGCGCACACTCGCTCGTGCTCGTGCGCGCGGACAGCTCGTCGAGAGCTGAGAACGAAAGAATTTTGTACTGTTTTTCCGGGCAACAACCATGGTAATACCCGAGGTGCTAATTGAAGAGAAGCAACGAATGAAGGCGTCCGGGCGCGATGATTACACGCCTGTCCGACTTTACGCACCGGCCGCCGCCATTACCAAGACTGTTAATAAATTCAGACATCTTGAGACTCACGGGCTACCCGCATGGAACTTTCTCGATTTGATTCGATATCGCGACTTCTTTTGATCAGTCATGCTCAATTTTCAGACGAAAGAATAACCATATGCTCATGGATCAGAATATTTGGAACGCTTTTTACAAAAGGTATATGTGTTGCTGTAACACTATAACGAAGATAATTTACCCGTACTTGGTCAAATACAACTTTATAACCTTTATAACCTATTGCAAGAAGTTGAATAATATATTCTTTCTTTTAACTATCTTTTATACAATTGGTTATGATGAACATCTTTGTAGCTATGAAGTCCATAACAAAACTGATTGGAAATTTATTTGTTATGATGGTCTTATTTCATACCTACTTATTATAAAATTAGCGCCAGAAGTACATCTATATATATATATATATATTATTTTTCGCTATACATTACAATAATTTTTTTAAATTAACTAGTGTGACCAGTAAGAATAAATAATAACGCTTTTAAAAAAAGATTAAATAATCTGTAAAGAGGAAATTTATAATGCAATGTTATATATATAAAACATATAATCCCTCTAACTTTAAGAATATAATGTGCTTATAATATTTTCCTCTTAATCTTCCTCTTAATCTTAGAGGAATCCTCTTGAGGCCATAAGAATAAAATCCTTTCAAATTTAGATAATTCCGCTTATTCTGAAATTACTTTTTTTGGGGTGCATGACTGAAGGATATCCGCCCCGCCGCTGTCCGCGCATTTCATATTCGCCTGTAATTAATTATTATTACGGCAGAGATAGCCTCCGTATTGATTCGGCTGTCCGCGATCTCCGCTTTGTTTGTTTGTTTGTTTCGGTTCATTCGTTCGCACAGGCACTCAAATATCATTAGCACGGCAGTCTGCCAGCTGCTCGCGACAGAAAGAACGAAACGTCCAGTTGCAACTTCTGTGCGTGATCGTCGATGAAGGATTTAATTATCGGACGATAACCGTGAAAGAGCGAAACACAATATCGCGAGTCAATCAGCAGCGATGAGAGGCGCGCGCAATGTGAAACGCGGCGGAATATTTTCGCGGCGGAACTCGCCCGCGCGAGGAGTCGTCGACGACGATTGATCGCTCGCGACGAGCAGCGCGCGACGGTGACGCACTCGCGCGATCCGCCGAGCGCATCGGATTTAATCGCGCGGTAATCTCGCGATAAAGAGAGAAATAACATGGTTAAAAGCGCGGGAGCGTCACGATTGTTAATTTCAAGAGTAATAATAAATACTGATATTGATTGTAATTACCGGCGCGATGCCCCGCGGGCGCTCGGATATTCGCGGAAATTTCACCGACGGATAAAACGCGCATTTTCGCGGACAGATATCGCGCGGCTAACGTGCTTCTCCCCCCGGACAATGCGCCCGCCCGCCCGCCCGGCGCAAAAATTGGGGACTATAACAAACCGCGAGGTGGCCGTGCGCTATTGCGCTATTATTCCTCGCGAACAAGCACGTCGTGATTTATGACGCACGGTATTGCCTGCCGATCGATCCTGGGAAATGTGTAAGGCGGCGGCGGCGGCGGCGGCGGCGGCGCGGCGGCGTTATGGGAAATATTTGAAACGCGGTATGCGCGCGGGGGTAATCGATATGCGCGAGTCAATCCCCTTCGTGGAAATTCCTAGCCAACAACCATAATTCAGCAGCGTAAGCTGCTCCCCTTCCCCTTCCCCCCCCGCCCGCCTGCCGTTTCGCATGCTGTGACGACAGCGACTCGGCAAAGCCGAGCGTTATATTCAACGCGCAATACGCGGAAAAATGGCGCTAATTAATTATTACGCGAACACGCGCGCGCGCGCGCACGGGCTCTTCCGATAAACAATAAATTTAACGAAATTCGCGCGCGCGCGCGCGCGCGGCCTGTCGAATAACTCGACCTGATCAATTTCATCGATTGTCGAAATGAGTTGCGGTTTCTTTCGCGCTAATTATGATAATTAATTCGACGGCGTATCTCTCTGTGTTTGCGCGGGATTTGTTTGTCGGCGAGTTTCCGGCGCTCTGTATATAATTTGCGCCCGTGTTCATTCATTCATTTATTTATTTATTTGTGCGAGCGGGCTTCTTCCGCCGCGCAAATAAATCTATAATTAATGTAGGATCGGCATGAAGCGCGCGCCACGACCTGAGGGATCCTGAGTCGGAAGTTGGCGGATTCTGTAAGGCGGCAGAGCCGCCGTGCAAGTGCAACAGCGCCGTCGTTTAATCACCCCTTTTTCAAGAGAACTCCCAGCATATAAACACACCCAAGATAAACGCAACGTTTCATCCGACGCGGCAGGCAATCGATTCGCGAGTCGGGAGTCGTATCGGCTTAGGGAGTAATTAAACTTTGCGCTGCTTTGTGCCGCTCGACGTTTATCGCGGATCAGTGGAATCGGTGCGCCAAGGGCTCGCCGAAGAAATCAACTCTGTTGGAATTTGTACGGAATATATGACGCGCCGTGCGCAGGCAGGCAGAGCTCGTGGGATTGAGCGAAAAAGTCTCGCAGCGTTTTGCAAATAACCGCGATAATTACCGAGATATTAATGAGGGAGAATTAACGAACGAGTGCGCACGATGCGCGGTGGCGCGACACAGCTCTTTGCACAACACCCGCATAGAAAATGTTTTGGGATCCGATCGGGACGCGCATTAAAGGGAATATGATGGATTTTCCTTGGCAGACCCAAAAAGATTCGGCTCGGAGCTTAAAAACGTTTGAGAAGTGTGCGACTCTGCAAATGGGAAACCCAAATGGATTTCTCTGCCGAATGTTTCCCCGAGTAAAAAGTGTAAATACTCAAGCATCTCTCGCGTCTCGGGCATTTCGCTCGGTGATAATGATAAATGTCTCGTGCGAGACCACGTTCCATTTTTACCTCAAATTTAGGATTTTAATGTTGTATTGAACATCTAAATCGGAGCACTAATTAGTGCTCCTTTTCATGTAAGAGGAAAATTCATTGATATAAGAGGAAATCCTCTTGAAATAAGAGGAGAACACAGTAATATCTAATAAATTCTAAATGAATGGTTCACTCCAATCGCTTTATCGAAGGAGGAATCCTTTTTCTGTAGAAAGCTCCGCTTAGAATATGAGACTATGGGAAAAGTAATTTTACAAATAGAATACATTGAACACAAGGACATAAGGACATAAGGACCGTCGGAGGACCCGATCTCGCCATCTTCGATTAACCGAATTGGCTGCAGATTAAGTGGCAACCGTGACCGGGCAGTTTTGGGGAATTTCGCTCGACGGGCAAATGCGATCGGTCAACTCCGGAATGGAATAATCCGGGTTAATCGACAGAGTTAATCCAAGTTGCAGGAATTAGCCTTAAGAACTCGAGGTCGAGGGCCGAGTTCCCTTTC